ATTCTGTAGAAGGCGTAGGATCAAGAAATGTTCATCCAATCAAAACGCTCGGTCAGAGAGTTTTAATTGGCTTTCCTACCTGCCTGTCAACGAATGTATTAGCATACCTCTGCGCACCCGGTTCGTGCAGACAGGATACGTCATCAGCGCGTTCACGCACGCTGTGCAGACAGAGCGAGAATGGCAGACAAACATCAACAAACCGATCTTCCTTCCTGGTATTGTAGTACTTTTACAGTTTTTTCACCGGTGAATGACACATGATGTAGCCCAGCGGTTCCCAATCCCAGTCCTCGTGCTCCCCCGCTCTGCATATATTTTGCGTATCGCGCTTAGTTAACACACCCGATTCAGATAACCAGCTCGTTAGAAGAGAGCTACGTGCATGAACTGTGTTCCGATCGATATGATCCTACACAGAGTTCATTGCTCCCTACTCCCTGAGCAGGGGAAATCCGTTGAAGTTTACTTCACTTCGAAGCATCGGCTGGAATTGGGAACCGCTGATGTAGCCTATTGTAGTAATGTTGTCTCTGGTATTCTGGTCTGTGAGCGTAAATACATTCAGGTGGCATGGCTTTGAACAGCGATTGCAGGGAGGGTGGGACTAGGGCTGTCACGATTATGAAATTTGGCTGACGATTAATTGTCTAACAAAATAGTCGCGATTATTGCGATTAATTGTCTGTTTTAGGGCTTTGACTATTATGCCGATTATCACGATTAATTGTCTGTTTTTACGGCTTTCGTTATATGATTGATTAATTTAATTTAAGGGTTCAGTAAATAATTATGATGTTATCTTTTAATCTTTTTGAGTTATTATTTTGCAGTGTAAGATTACATGGAGTATTCCAAATTCTAAGAATCGGCCAATACCGATCCAACACTAGCGCTGTTTTTTTTCTACACCACTACAGAATATCAATACTGTGTTTGTGGAACTAATGGTCGCTCTTTTAAACCCTTTGTTAAACGCAATCCACTAAATACTCACTTCCTCATTACAGAGAAAAACTACATTTGAATAAAAATATATAAGCTATGAAATTAAACTAGCTGACTGTATAATTTAGCAGCAAAAACAATATCTTGAAAAAAAAATCTTTGGTGCACATTATACAATTTAAACCTGTTTATTCTGTTAACTATTCTTGCAAAATACATTCATGAATATAAGATAGAAATCATGAGAAAAAGAAAGGCTTCTAATAATCTTTCAGGTTGTGATAATTCCTTACTTCCTTAAACTTAAAGTATTATAATGGGAATATATCATCTTGGAGAGAGAGTTTTATGCTGACTGTCATAACTGAACGTGACATGCTGTTTGAATGCTGAGCGGAGAATGACTGACAGCTGCAGCAGAAGGAAGATGAGTTTCTGTAAACCTAAATTCTGTCCCTCACATTAAGATATGGAATCGCTTCAGATGATATAGTGCAGGGCTCCATATAGTGCGACCATTTTTTCTGCCTGTGCGACTAAATTTTGTGTGCGGTCGCACTGGCGCGACCACCGCGTTGGTCTACTCATAAGCGCTTAAATTTCTGTTGCATATGAGAAACATCAAATGGCAAACAAAACTGAAAGCATAACGAAACAGCGCTTAAGAGAGTAAACTCGCCGCGTCAGCACGAGCGCGAAGGAGCGCACAGCAAGAATGACGCGCATATTGAGGAAACGATGGATGGTTTTCAAGCGAAAGTCAAGTAAAAGACCGCTTCTTAAACCAGAGAAGGTGAACATGCTGGGATTTATTGTTGTTGTGCTTTTTAATTAAGAATAACAATCAATCCATCTTTTGTTTTAGTCTTAAAAAAATGAAAGGTGTTTAGACGTATGTAAGCAAAACAGTGACAACAAGATCACGAATTCGAAAGTGAAAGCATCCGAAGCCCGCGGCTTAACACAGCAAAAGAAACTCCCATTCACAAAATTCAAATCACAAATAATACTACTGATGATAAAGAACGGGTTGAATGTTAACCACTTTCATTTCCATATAGCTATAATCTATGATAAAAGTTCATCAGCATGCATTGAATAATCCCATGTTGTAGCGCAAAAAAAAAAATATTGCGACCAAATCATGT